ACCTAAGGGTATCTTCTACACTAGAGAGCATCTATGGATCATAACATAGGTGGGCCTCTTAAAATTCCAAAGCAACTATAACAATATTGATATTATGACGAGTTGTTTCACTTTTAATGCCATCATTGATTTCTTTTCCTTCATAGGACCTAGGTGGTGTTGGAAGATGACTCTTCAGCTACCAATGTCATGAATGTTTATGTTAAACTTTAGGTTGTAACTAATCCCCTTGTTGATAGGAAGAGAAAAAACTTATTAGCAAACTTAGCATCAATTATGTAACACCCCAACCCTTTCTTTTTATTTTATTTTATTTTATTTTTATTATTGTAATTATTATATGAATAATTATTATTTATGTAATAATATATTGAATTTAATTTAGTTTAATTTATTTTAATAGAAATAATAATAATAATAATAATAATAATAAGGGGTAAAAAATTATTTAGTGATTTAATTGAAAATAATTTTGAAAAAAAGGGGTGAAAATTTGGGTCATAGGAGTATTTTTGAAAGAAAAATCAGAAATTGGGGGTCAAAACGTAATTTAAAAAAATTGTGCCACATCAATTGCCCCGGCCAACCAGGACGCGCAAGGTGGCAGAGACACTAACACGGGAGGCCACGCGGAAGGGAGCCATATGGGTGATCCGCGTGGGCACGATCGAACAGCTGAGATTCGTTCTTGCGCACATGGACGGCCCAGATCAAAAACGCGCACAGACGGCCCAGATTGCATCGCGCATGGACAACCCAGCTTGAATCGTGCACGAATGGCTCAGATTAAATCGTGATGAACGGTCCAGATTCATTTCCTATTTAATCACGATCGGATGGTTCATATTAAATGCGATGGACGGCTTAGATCAAAAGTAGATGGTTATAAATAATCTCATCTGCACCCAAACTCTAACCCTAGCCGCTAGAGCCCCTCGCCGGAGTAGATAACCCAGCCGCCGGGGAGCCGAGCGCCACCAATCGCCGCCGGGGAGCCGACCGCCACCACTCGCCGCCGTACCGAAGCAATTTTCGGCAGCCAAACGAGGTAATAATTTTACATTTTGCTCAGAATTCGATTTTAAACCCACCTATGGCCAAATCAGAGCGAAAGCGCCAGCTAATTGGCTGAAAAATGCCGCCAAAGCCTAGCGGCACCACCGCAAGGTGTCTCGATTTTGCCTCTGATGAGGCCCTTCCCGATTTTCGTCTGACGTGATTTTTTCACCTTTCTGATCACCGTTTCCTCCTCAACATGTTGACCAGAGCAAAACACCCAACTGCAACGTGAGCTGGAGGAGCCGCCGCACCAGAGAGCCCCACCGCCGGTAAATTTCAGTTTTCTGTATTTTTTCGGCCCACTGAGGGCCCTAAGTGTGTTTTCTCACAGGAACCGATGCAAGTTTGGCTGAATTCGGCCGAAAATTACCGAAAACAGCCAACCCGAGGCGGATCGCCGGCGCTCGCGGCGGCGCTGTCGCCGGAGCACGGCGGAGCTGCCGTGCCAGAATTCTGAAATTGGCCGCGTAGGCCCTAGGTCTGATTTTTGGGTTATTTGGGACATGTGTAGGTATCGTAAGCGCGTTTCAGTTCTCGAAAAAAAATTCAGGAAACCCAGGGACCGCCCATAGACGCAGTGAAAATCTAGTTTTCGGTGTCAGATCAAGTAAGGACCCCTCACTCTATTTCCTATTATGGAATTGAAGTTTGAATAAATGATAATATTATATTTTGTACAAATTAAATAGATATGCATAATTAATTACGGTTGCTAATGGAGCCCGAACTAGACATTATTCTTTATCGATTCCTGTTTGATTTATTTTATAGTTTAAATGCATTATGGTATCTGGTTTATCTATTCTATGGTTTTAAATGCATGTATCACTGCTTACTTCACTACTGTTTAATTTTAAAAATCTAAGATATGCTTACTTTGTCGGATGCACATTACTTGTTTATGTATTCATATTTGAGTTGGTAACGAAGACTAAGGACAAATAGTAATGGGATGTGATTTGATAAATGGATAAGATGACAGCCTCACTAGATATCCTGGGAGATGGTGGACAGACCGGGTTCATAGGAAACTCTACCGTGAACGTTGTCTCATACCGAACAAGGTATGGAGACTTTATTATTTTGGCACTCTTACCGGACGGGGTATGAGGACGGCCCGCTTCACCCTCATACCGGATGAGGTATGGGGACGGTCTTGGAATTAAGTTTGTTAAGGGGAATGGTTCACGTGTAGCAGGGACCCCTATGGATTC